TTAAAAACTATTTGGAACGCTTTGAAAATTATCTTGCTGTCAAAAACATCTCAGATGAAATGAAAAAAGCACAACTTCTTGCGCTTCAATTGGCTCCTGTTCACTACAATAATCTTTCATCATTAATTGGACCTGAAAAACCTATCAAAGACCTAGATTTTGCTACTTTGGTCAAATCACTACGTGACATGCTTTCACCACACAGAAACGTTGTAGTTTCACAACATTACTTTTTAAACACTTATCAAAAAGCAAATCAATCAATTCCTGAATACATAGCTTCACTACAAAAAGACCTGTCTGAATGTGAATTTACAGTCCAGTGTGAATGTTCAAAACAAGTTTCAGTCTCAGATACATTTTTAAGAGCTCAATTCATAAGAGGCTTAAAAGATGACTGGATTCGAGAACAGTTATTACAATCAGACACTACTTCATTCAAAGACATTGTAACCAAAGCTACTGCTTTGGAAGCTTCCCGATTAGAGACCCAGGCTTTGAACAAACATCAGCATTCAATTCCAACTGATGTAGATATCAATAAACTTTCAAATGTAGGTACAAAACATCAGAGAAGTCGTTCAAACTACCGTAAGAATCCAAATTCTGGTCATACTTATCGTTCTCAATCAAAAGTAGATTTCAATCGCCTAGGTTTTGGAGATCTTTGCTTTCGATGCGGTAGAAATAATCACCGCGCAACTGAGTGTCGCACTAGCAAGTCATCACTTCATTGCACTTCCTGTTCGAAACAAGGCCATGTAGCCAAAGTTTGCATTTCAACCCAAATGAAAAATAAGTCTTCTACCAATCAATCTAAGTTCAATTCAACAAAGTACATTTCTTCAACCTCTGATGACATTCCGCTAGGCTTAAATCAAATCACTGAAGTTCATCCAGTTACCAAACCTAATATCATAGACATATTTGACCAGAACGAACGATCAAATTTACCCGATTCACAAAAGTATTTTGCTACAGTTTCAATTGATAACAAGCCAATGCGTTTTGAGATAGATTCCGGAGCAGGATTTACATTAATACCAGAAAAGGCTTTCAATGAGTTAAATCTCAACGTCAAACTTGACCCAACTAATGTGTATTTCCGTGCTTATACAAATAATGTATTTAAACCATTGGGCAAAGTTACAGTTGAGGTTACTTACAAAAACCATAAATCAATTGAAGATATGTATATAGTTCCTGATAATTGTCCAGCAGTCCTAGGAAGAGTGTGGATTCGACACTTACATATAAGTCTACAAGAAATAGATGATGGTTCAAATCAACCTAACTTTTTCAATGTCTCCGAAACCTTCCATTCAATTGATGACATATTTTCTGAATTTTCCACAGTTTTTGACCAAAGAATTGGATGCTTGCCCAACCACAAAGTTACACTTCAATTACGTGGAAACGCTAAACCTGTGTATACCAAAGAACGTAATGTTCCGTTTGCCCTAAGATCTCAGGTTGAGGAAGAACTCAACAGTCTTGAATCATCCGGCATAATATCTAAAGTCGATGCTAGCGATTGGGGTTCGCCTTTGGTTGTTATTCCTAAAGAAAATGGCACAGTGAGGTTATGCGTCGATTACAAAACAGGCGTAAATGATCGTCTTGTTTCATCTAATTTCCCGATCAAACACATTCCAGATGTTTTACACTGTTTGCGAGACTCTAAATATTTTTGCAAGCTTGATATTTACAAGGCTTATTTGCACATTCCAGTTGATGCCCCAAGCAGCAAAATTCAAACTATTACTACACACCGCGGTACATACTTGATGCACAGACTTAGTTTCGGAATCAAGACCGCGCCTGCCGAATTCAATCGCATTCTAAGCCAAATTCTAAACGGGTTACCAAAGACTGAAGTTTATTTTGACGACATAATCGTGCATGGTACAACAAAAGATGAATGCTACAATAATTTACGGTTGTGTCTATTCCGTCTACATGCGAACGACTTGCATCTAAACAAAGACAAATGCAAATTCTTTTGCGAACAGATTGACTATCTTGGTCATGTGATTAAGTACAATCAAATTTCAAAAAGTCCAGAAAAGATTAGAGCTGTTTGTAATATGCCTCAACCAAGGAATATTGATGAGGTCCGGAAATTTCTTGGAATGGTTACCTACTACGCTCGGTTCATCCCAGACCTATCTACAAAAACAACACCTCTTCGACAGCTTCTACAGAAAAATAGAAGATTTCATTGGTCAATAGATTGTCAAACTGCATTTGATTGTCTCAAGGAGGAAATAACTTCTAAAAGAATTCTCGTACCATATGACCCCCATCGTCCAATCGTTCTAACATGTGATGCCAGTCCTACCGGAATTGCAGCTGTAATGAGTCACATAATTGACGATGAAGAGAAACCGATCGCTTACGCATCCAGATCCTTAACTCCATCAGAGCGAAATTACAGTCAGCTCGATCGAGAAGCTCTTGCGATCGTGTTTGGAGTCAGTCATTTTTACAATTATCTGTATGGACTTCACTTCACCTTAATTACAGATAATGCCCCTCTTTCAAGAATTTTCCATGAAAGCAAATCCTTACCACCCATGACTTCCAGCCGTCTACTCCGTTATGCATCTTTTCTATCAGGGTTTAACTATTCAATACGTTTCAAGAAAGGGGAAGCAAATGCTAATGTTGATTGTTTATCTAGAGCTCCAGTGACTCAACATTCTGAAACCTTAGACATTTTCCTAAACAATGAAGTTACCTTGCTACATTCAGAAACAATTTTTGAAATATCTTCTGAACATTTAAATGCAACTATTCTAGCCCGGGAAACTGAAGCTGACCAAAATCTTAGAGAAATTAAAAGGAAACTTTTGTCTTCTTCTGCTGACCTACCATACACATTGGACAACGGAGTACTTTTCAAGGAAACTCGTGCTGTCATTCCTAACAGCCTTCAACCTCAAGTCTTACAGCAACTACATGCTACTCACATTGGTATTACAAAGATGAAGCAATTAGCCCGAAGATACGTTTATTGGCAAGGGATTGACAAGGACATAGAGAAATTAGTCCAATCGTGTGAAATTTGCGCCCACATAAAATTCAATCCTCCCAAAGCACCCCTTCATCAATGGGTAGAGCCAGAAGAAAACTGGGAGCGTATTCATATAGATTACGCGGGGCCTTTTCAAAACCACTACTTTCTTGTTTGTGTGTGTGCCAAGTCAAAGTGGGTAGAAGTTAAAGTATTGAGAAATGCTCCTACAACTTCTAATACTATTATTCTTCTCGACAACATTTTCTCATCTAATGGCTATCCTCAAGTGATGGTATCAGACAATGCCACAATTTTCACCAGCGCAGAATTCAAGAAATACTGTTCATCCAATGGAATTTTCCAGAAACTGATTGCTCCTGGACATGCAGCTACAAATGGCCTTGCTGAAAGAACTATCCAGACTTTGAAGCAAAGATTGAAAGCATTGGAAGATGACCATCGTCAAATACATACAAAGGTTCAAGAGATTCTTCAACAATATCGCGCCACTCCTCTCTCAAATGGACAATCACCTGCAGAACGATATCTTCATCGTAGGATCCGCATCAAGCTGGATGCTCTTCGACCTTACCATCCGGCAAAGAATCCTCCTTCGATAATAAGAGTTCGAACATTCAATGTGGGGGAGAGAGTTCTCATTAGGGAGTATTCACAAAATAATAAATATATATGGACATTTGGTGAGATTATACAGAAACTAGGGACTCTTCACTATATTGTAAGGTTAGATTCTGGAAGAACACTGAAACGTCATCTAGACCAACTCCGGAAAACTCAAGTAAAGAAGGTTCGTTTCAACGAATGTGAAGAAGTACCTAATCAAGTTCCCATAATTCCACAAGTCCCAATGCAAGTACCCATACTTCCGCAACAGCAAGTTCCTATCCAAGTTCCAGAATTAGTCCAATTACCAGCTGAAGAGAACTTACAACCAACATCACCACGACCACGAGTACGATGTTCAACCCGCACTCATAAAGCTCCAGATTATCTTAAAGACTATGTTACAAAATGAGTTGAAAATAAGTGGGGGAGATTGTAGTATTCTTTATACTGTATATTATCAGCTGTTGTCATTAGATATAAAACAATGTTTACCTTTTCAATTTGCAGTTGTAAATATTACTTTCAATAAAAGAGTTTATTCAAATGCGTGCTTATTATGAACTCTAATTCAAAGTCACAACAGAAATCTACTAAGGGACTATTCCATAACCTACTACCATAGATAAAACATACTCTACCATCTACTACTGTAGAATTGACAGGTGTATAGGTAGTCAATACATGCATACATCCTCCTCTTCTCCGTACCGGTACCGGTAGTCTTGAAGACCAGGGCATTGTTAATTCTTGAGGTTGGGTGTGCTACTAGTCCCTGCTCAGGCTTCCACAGTAACTGCGGCGGGCTCCCTTTCGCAGGTTATTCTTAATGCATTTGAAGACAAACAAAATATTGTGTCAACCTCTTTTGATTGTGTGCCACATGATACTTGTCAAAATGCTTTCAATGTATGGGGTTGGAGCCTGTGTGCTCAAAATGTTTGAGTCCTACCATTCTGCATTGGCCTGGTCGATGATAAGCATGGAGTCCCCCAGGGCTCCGTCCTTTTGGGCCTTTCTTATTAATTGTTGATTGTTGCCATGAATGACACTTGTGGATGGCGTCTCAAATGATATATTCATGTACGCGGATGATACTACTATTTTTGCTAGACATTTTGATCATATGACAAAAAATTCTGTTAGCACATTGTTAAATGAAACGTCTCAATGGTTTGATGAAAATAAATTAACTTTGAATGTAGCCAAAACTCAAGAAATAATTTTTATTCATAATTAAAAATTTTCCAGTGACTAATAGTTTGTAAGATTGCTAGGTTTCACCCTGGATTCGGAGCTTGCGTGGGATGACCACATAGATGCACTTTGTGTAAAAAGAGTAAATCATCAATCACAGATGGCTCAGAGGTATGAGGCTCAAAAGGCGAAGGTACCGGGTTCGAGACTCATCTGGGTCCATAAAAGAATGTTCTCGTTTTTTTCAAAATTAGTTTTTGTGAACTATTCAGTTTATTCAACTGATAATATTGTAAGACTTTTGAGGAAGTTGCCCTCTGAACTAGGTACATTTTAACTTTCTGAGACTTGCTTTCGTTTCTTTTTTCCAGGCCCATATTGTATATGGGACACTCCTGTGGGGTCACTCCCCGCAAAGTATACTGTTCTATAAAAAAAGGCTATCCGGGTAATATGTCAGGTTCACTATCTATGGAGCATTATAGGCATTTGTTCACTGCACTTTGCATTAGGATGACTGTTGTGAATATTTATCAATCTTTGTTAGCTATTAAGGACGTGGAAGAGGATTTTGTTTGCAACAAGGATGTCCACTCATATTTAACTAGAAATAGAAGCAATGTACATTTAAGTAGCAAAATAGATTGAGTAAAAAACTAATAACTGTTTTCCTGTTACTGGTATAAAGTTTTACAATGCTCTCCTGGGAAAGTGTTTGGTTGTTGTGGAAGTCCAAATGTATCAAAATATTGTAATTTTTTTCTATGTGCTCATTATGTATCTACCACAATTTTATTTATTTTTTATTTTTGCCATAACTGCACTGCATGGTTTGCCGCTTTGTTTGCTGTGTCTGTGTGAGATTAAACAATTTCAGCATGGTTTGCAATTGCAATGGTTAACATTTTTATTTAGCCTATTTATATAATATTTTTGGTTTGATTTATTTTTAGCATAGTTTTGACTACCTATTTGTATTTTATTACTTTGAATGACATTATAAATCTATTGAATCTCTCTCTCTCTCTCTTAAATCTCTTGAATTTGTTTATGTTGATGATCCATTCTGTTTCTGTTGTGAATAACTACAAACGAACCATTAATACAGGAAGCTGTTAGTGAATTTAAGCTAAGTACCTATTACCGTAGGTGGCACGGTAAGACCTAGGCCCAGGACCAATTTACTTTTTCATTTTGATGTCCCCAGAGGCCAAAAACACTTCTCTATACATTCAATTGTTATATATATTGCGTATGTGTGTGTGTTCATGAACGCAATATAACTTGAGTGTAATTTTTGTCTGATTTTGATGAAATTTGGCTTGAGGGTGTGGGGCAGGATAGACTTGAATGAGCTTGCGAACCAGCATGATCGGATCATGGGAACGGGGTTTTATGGGGTGAAAATTGGTTTTACATATTTTTGATCCTCAAGACTTAAAAATTTTGCAATTTGTTTCCAAACCATTTTGTAGAAGTTGAAAAACAAATAGGCCTACGCGCCCAATGATTATATGAAGACATTTCAAAAAACTTTAATTTTTAAATTTACATGTTATTGTTATGGAGAGTAAGTAATTTGTTGTACTTTGCTTGCTTATGGATATATTTTGATCTTACGGATAGACTTTGAGACTTGGAAAATGTATTTATTTTATACTAAGTTCTATTTATATTTTACAAAAAACACCCTTTTTTACCCCTTCTAGCAGTAAACCTAGGTACTCATTAAACTAATTTGTTACTAAAATAAATTTAAGTGAAAATCAAATCAGGCAAACAGAAATTCTCTTAGTCTGCTGGTATGCTGCAACGGCAGTATATTCAATTTTGCGTCCTTCTATAGTTTTATTTAAAACTAGCTGGCCCGATGACAGACGTCCTGTCTTAAATGTGGTTGTCATTTTATGTCAAATGCTCGTTCAATCTCAAGATGAGCTCGTTTGCATCGCTCAATCACGTCCTGGTTGAAGTTAGTTCTCTACCCTCACTCACCTTTTGGCAGGAGCTCGTTCAATGCGCTCACTTGCCTCCAGGTTGATTATTTTCGTTGGATTATTGTATCCCACAGTTTAATGAAAACATTTTCCTCCATTTTCCATTTTGCTAAGTGTAAAGGCAATATTGTTTTGAATTTTTTAAATCCAATTACTAAATAAGGGTTGAATGGATTATAAATTTTCATAAAAACCTACCCCTGGCAATAAGGAACACAACAATAAAAGAATCATCCAATTTGGTGCACTGGTTCTCGAGTTATGAAATACCTTAAATAAGGGATTCATTTTTTATTTTTATAGATTATTATTTCTGTTTGTTTTAATTATTTCAGAGTGGTTAGCCCCCACATAATTTCCTTCTGATAGCCAAAAATAGATGAAATAAATAAATAAATAATTCTTTATTGTCACATCACTAGTAGACATCATTAAAAATTCATTTGAAACAAAAAAGTACTGTTCTGCTGCATTTCTGGATGTACAACAGGCATTCGATAAAGTGTGGCACACTGGACTTCTGTATAAACTTAAATCCTTGCTCCCCCATTCTTTTTACAGTTTGTTAAAATCTTACTTAAATGAACGATTCTTCCAGATTAAATTTCAAGAAATTTTAACCGACTTGAAGCCTATTCAATCTGGAGTACCCCAAGGCAGTGTTCTTGGACCTGTTTTATATCTACTATATACCTCCGACATCCCCGTGGGCCAAAATATTACGGTTGCTACGTTTGCGGATGATACTGCATTTCTCTCCATTCACGAAAATCCTCAAGATGCTTCAAATCAATTGCAAGTTACATTGAATGATTTCGAACTGTGGCTAAAAAAATGGAGAACTAAAGTTAATGAAACAAAATCTTTACATATAACATTCACGCTGAGACAAGAAAACTGCCCTCCAGTTACTTTGAACAATATAGCGTTGACAGAAGTGGACAGCGTTAAGTATTTAGGATTCCACATGGATAAACGATTAACTTGGAAAACACATATTTGGTGTAAAAGACAACAAATGGACTTGAAGGTTCGTAAACTCAACTGGCTTCTAGGCAAAAAATCTAAGCTTTCGTTGACCAATAAACTCACACTTTACAAAGTTATGATCAAACCTATTTGGACGTACGGGATACAGCTTTGGGGAACGGCAAGTAAATCCAACTTAGCAATTATTCAAAGATTTCAGTCATAGGCGCTACGAAGAATAGTTGATGCTCCGTGGTTTGTTTCGAATCGAACAATCCATGAAGATTTCAGAATACCTACAGTAATTGAAGAAATAACAAGAATTAGCAAGAACTATCAAGAAAAACTCGAAACCCACCCGAACAATATAGCCGTTAATTTGCTGGACAATAGTGATTTTCCCAACAGACTGAAAATTGTGAAAGTTCTAGAACTCCCATACCGATTTGTATAGTTTTAGTTATGACATGACTATTTAATTTTGCAAGATCTTTCACAGGGAAGATTCTTGGTCAAGACACTTATTTATATTATCTCTTTTACTAATTGTTCAAAGTATTGAACAGATTGTAAAATAAAATTAAGTTAAAAAAAAAAAAAATTGTCACATCAACGTTTTAAATCATAGCACAGCTAAAAAACAGATGACATTGTCAAAATTATTACTAACTTAACCTAATGTACAACAATATGTCTTATGCATAAAAAATGTTTGTAAACAAGTTGGCAAAATTAGTTAAACGATGACAGAAAAAAAAATTAGTTTCTATGTCATACAAAATAGAGTCATATTGATTGGTTAGTTTCATTGAGGTAATCATTAACACTGTAATACGTTTTGCTAATCAGAAAATCAGCAAGGCTGCTTTTAAAAGATTTATTATTAATTACATTTTTTAGAGTTGAGGGTAGTTTATTAAAAATTTTTTTTCCCATGTATTTAGGTGTTTTTTCTACAAGCTTCAGTCGGTGTCTCGGATATTGGAAATTATTTTTAAATCTAGTGTTATATATGTGGTCAAAGTTTTCTCTAATGTAGTCATCAAAATTTGAATGCACCGCTAACAATGTTTTGTAAATAATCAAATTTGGAATAGTCATAATATTCAATTCTTTAAAAACTGTTTTGCACGAAGATTTCCATGGTAAAAAAGTCATAATTCTTATAAACTTTTTTTGAATTTTAAAAACTTTTTCAATTTCCGAGGCGAACCCCCAAAATTCAATTCCATGCTGAACTATTGAATAAAAGTAAGCATAATAGAGCATGACAGAAGTTTTCAGGTCTATAGAATTTCTTAAGCATAACATTTGAAAACAGGCTGAATTTAATTTTCCAATTACCGACTGAATGCACTTACTCCAGGTCAAGTGTTTATCAATATATAGCCCTAAAAATTTTACATTATCATCAGTTGGTTGAGATTGATCAGTGAGTGCCATTGATTGAGGTGTACAAAATCTTACAAATTTGGTTTTCTCTTCATTCATTTTCAATCCATTGATCTCAAACCACTTCCCCAATTCGGTTAGGCTTTCTTCAATTTTATGTTTTAATCCCTCATTGTTTTTTGTTTTAACTACTGCAGTAGTATCATCTGCATACAGAATTAGATTATTGGAAACATTTTTTGGAAGATCATTGATATATATAAGAAATAGAAGAGGTCCCAAAATCGAACCTTGAGGCACACCTATTTTAATTTTTTGCCATTCTGACTTTACTTGTGATGTGACCACCTCAGAAATATTTAAACATTTTGGTTTAATTAAACTGAGCCTTTATTCAACATTTCTGGGAAGTTAAACTAAAAAAAACTCTCGAAGTATTCTGAGTATTGTTTTTTTTATAGATTACTGTAAACTGAACAACAAGCAATGTGGGAAAACACCAATCAAACAACATTATTTTTTAACACTTTTAGCATGACCAGCAAATAAAAAAAGTGTAACAAATTTCAATTTGTTTTAACTTTCACACCCTTTTACTGTCTAGTCTAATGGATGCCTGTCAAATAACAATCATTCTGTCAGTTCAGTAGGCACAATCAAAACCAAGCAATTTGTTTTGACAGTTTTATCTGTGATCTTCGAGCTACATTTTTAGCACTCTAGACTTGTGCAATGAAATAATACTTATAACAGGAACTGCTTCATGTTTTGGAACCGTTGAGAGAGAAATCACATTTTTTATTTGTCACAGTTAGTAAACAGCAGTGAAAACGTGTATGTTTTAAAATATAAAATGAGAAAACTGTGCAAGGAATTTTGTACGAGCTCTTCAGTCCATGGTTTGGAATTGGTGGTGAGCGCTAAGAAGTCGACAAAAGAAAGGTGATTAATTTTTATATCAATTAACCTATCAATGAGATTGTAAGTTCGTTAATTTAACCAAATAATAAACAATAAATCAATAGCATTCATTTTGATGGTTGTTTGTGAAATCTAAGTTTTAGCGAATTTCCCTATAGGGAAGTAGCTATTACCGTAGGTGGCACAGTAAGACCTAGGTCCGGGGCCGATTTACTTTTTCATTTTGATGTCCCCAGAGGCCAAAAACACCATTCGTTAAAATTTTTATATATGTATTTATTATTAACACCTGTATTTATTTATAACATTTTTTTTTTTTAATTAGGTTAACACACTTGAAAATAATGTCCTTAAGAGACGAAACATCTTGTGTTTTATTAAATAAAAAAGAATATAAAAAAAGGGTACTTATGTTATTTTATATATTATTTATTAATATATATATATATATATAAGGTGTAAGGCGGGATAAACTTGAATGAGTTCGCGAACCAGCATGATCGGACCATGGGAACGGGGTTTTACGGGGGCTTTTATGGGGTAAAAAATGGTTTTTGTCATTTTTGACCCTCAAAACACAAAATTTCCTAATTTCTCTCTAAACCTTTTTAAAGAGCTTAAAAAACAAATAATTTAGTATATCAAAGTGTTTTTGTACGGTTATTGGTAATGGAGAAAATTAAACAAATTGTAAATTTATATTCCCATGTTATTTTTATGGAGAATATTGTGAAATTTTGTAGTTTGCTTGTTTATGGATATATTTTGATCAAACTTGGCCAGTTTATTTATTTTATACTAAGCTATTATTATTTTACTAAAAAAATACACTTTATTACTTTCCTTGTAGCAGCAAACCTAGGTACTCATTAAACGTAATGTTATTTATATAGATTTAACTGAAAATCAATATATATATATCAATATATATATATATATTTATATATATATGTGTCCGTTAGCACGATAACTCGAGCAAAAATGATCCGATTTTGATGAAATTTGGTACAAACGTGTATACCTACGTTTATTCAAACGAGTTCGCGATCCAGCATGATCGGACCATGGGAACGGGGGTTTACGGGGGTTTTATGGGGTAAAAATAGGTTTTTCCCATTTTTGACCCAAAAAACAAAAAATTTAGCAATTTCTTTCCAAACCATTTTGTAGAACTTAAAAAAACAAATAATTTACTATATTGAAGCGTTATTATGCGCCTAATGGTTACGGAGAAAATTCCAAAAAATTGTAAATTTAAAATTCCCATGTTATTCTTATGGAGAATAAGTAAACTGTTGTAGTTTGATTGTTTATGAACATATTTTGATCAAATTTTGAGAATGTTTTTATTTCTTACTAACTATTAACATTTTACAAAATAAGTTTTACCCTCCCTGATGCAGCAAACCTAAGTACTTGTTAAACTAATTCTATTTAAATCGGGAATAAATGTTATATTTTTAAGTAGAAATTTCAGTGTAAATTAAATCAGTCAAATGGAAATTCGCTTAGTCTGCAGGTTTGCTGCGGCGGGGGTATTTTAGTTTTAATATTACAGTATGTTATTATGGTTACCACTGTTGGTCTCTCAGCTTCCAGTCCGGCCCGACTTCCTCTCCCATCAATTTTTTAACAGCTGTACTGCATAGACGAGTATTTAGCACATTTTTATCAGTTTATATAACTTGATGTGGTATAAAACAATCACTTTACCACAATAATACTAGTTACTCAGAATGTTTTTTTTTTTATGACTCATGTATCTCGTTAAGTGTTGATTTTAGGAACACGATGTAATGAACATTATTGTTGGAAATTTAATGCTCTTCATTTTTGTATCCGTACATTTTACCGCTAGAGGGCACCGTTTTCGCGATATTTACAGAAAACCGAAAAATTGTGCATTTACACCCCCCTCCCCCCCATAGCTCACACCCCATCAGTCAGGACTTTTAGTATGTTGTTCAGGAGGGTATCCCCTACAACTGTGCACAAATCCGGGACTACACCGTTTTTTCCCACTCATTCAGCTTCGTTGACTGGACTATGACTCACTTTCATAAAAACAGTTTTATGTGAATTGTAATATATTTAACACCTGATTACTTGATTTTTTAACATTGTAAAGAAAAGACAACATAACAGTTTAAGAAAATGGACTTGAAAGGTTACTTTTTGACTGATTTGTAGTGGTGGGTAAATCACTCTTAATTGCAGTGATGTAAAATTTACATGTTTTAAATACTGTAAATTAGTAGGTCTAGATGTATTTTTACTGTGATAAAAAAACTATATTTCCACAATATCACTTCTTTGAATGTTAAATTTCTTTAGTTAACAAAGTAATCCTTGGAAGGTAAAGGTTTGCATTATATTTCTTTTGCCTCAGAAACAAGTTTTGGGCCCTATTAAAATGTACAAATCTGTGCACAGGCCCCTTTGATATAAATAATTTTTTAACATTATAAAATTAAAAACAGTAGTTAAATTATCTGCATCTGATCACTGGGCGTCTACTTATGGGTTTTTAACTTTGATGAGCCTGCAATGCCAGACTCACATTAAGAATATAACGTTACCATGTTTCTAATCTGGTATCTTTAATTTGACTACAGAGTTTTCTGGGGATGTTTGATTGTGGTTGCTACCGTACTTCTGACCCGGCATGTTTACGTGCTCGGAACTAATGTCACCCACAGTAATGTGGAGCTGATTGTAGATAACCCCAACTACAGCCTAGAGAATGCAGACTTCCCAGCTGTCACAATCTGTTCCAACAGCAAGGTGATGCGTTCAAAACTGTTCCAGTATTTGAAGGGCATAAGGTGAGATGATAATTTGTCAGCTTAACGGTTGTTTTTTTGTTAGGGAATGACCCAAACACTAGTATTTTCCTTAATGTCAACCGGTTGCTAGAAAACATCATAATTAATTGAATATCCCTGCCAAACATTGTTGCAAACGACGTACTTTGTGAAATTGAGATTTTTTAAGATCAGCAATTCAAATTACTTTCTCTGCTGTGTGGGATATTTCGCTCTTAAAAATACAAAGCCTGGCAGCGCTCTCGAGATTGAAAACTGTGCGGGAATTCACACCTACAAGCGGGACACTGGCTGTGTTGACATCGGCGCAGACGTTTTTAAGTTTTCTGAAATCTAAAAATATTTACTTTTGTCACTTTTGCTACGTTGTTCAGCAGAGTTATTGAATTTATAGTCCAACGACAAGGAGTGCCAAATGAGATGTAGGAACAGATTTTTCTTAGACCAAATCAAATTTGTGTGACCACTCTGTGTTCCTCATTGTTGTAAACACCGAAAGGAAAATTTGACCCTGGCAACTGGAAACAAAGAGAAATGCTTCGACTTTTTTAAGTTTTAAGGACTCAGTTGACTTAAACGACAAAATGATGTATGGCTTATAGTATGGATCGATAGCGGATATTGGATGTGAAATGTTAGAAAATACCTAGAACTTAGAACACTGTCCAAAAATGCCAAGTAAGATATTTACAATTGGATAATTTGATAATTTCTTAATAAAAATTGGAAATCGAGAACCCCGACTAAAATCAAAGGATCTAAGGAACATTCTTGAATGGAACTTTCTTTTTTCTTTGACCACGTGTTGGAACGAAAGGAAGGTCTATCAACTGATGGTGTATGCAAGGGAGTGGTGGTGTGCAAGGGGGGTCTATGGGAGGGAGGGGGGGGGGGGTTGGAAAAGTAAAATCTCCATAAAGATAATCTCTAAAATGTTTAATTGATTATTAGGTTTCATTTCCTGCATTATAACCCTTAAGGGAGATATAGCACTAAGGATATGCACAGTTCTAATTTTTTATAATAATTTAAGCGTTTTTACGTCTAGAATTGTTTACAGGAAGGATATGCCCTCAAATGAAAAAGAAAGGTTTATTCACTCAGTGTTAGCAATGGATCTGATGAAATACCCCTTTCTCCATCACCCAAATCTCTATATGGAGCGTTTCAACAACAATCTCCGCTATATTCCCAATGAAGAAATATTCGACTTGTTTTTGACAGTAAGTTCATCACAGATTTAATGTAGCGTAAAACTAATACAACTGTTAATTATTACCTATTTAGCCTAATGAATCTAGATCTACTAGATTCATTGGATTATATGTATACTTACTTACTTACTTACTTACTCCTATGGCCACACAAATCCCAAGTGATTTTTGGCCTCGCCAACAATGCTCCTCCACTGCTGCCTGTCTTCTGCTGCTTCCAAACTTGCTCCTAACCTCCTGAGGTTCTGCCTCACTTGGTCATTCTATCTTAATCTGGGCCATCCTAGCGGCCATCGTCCTGTTATCATCTCTTTTATATACATGTCCCAGCCATCGTAATCTTCTGCTCTTTACCATTGCTATAATATCTGGGTCATTATAAAGTTCTCTTATGTATACACTTAATGAAAATCTAAATGGGTTCCTAGTTCCCATAACTCAAATGAGAATTTGCCAGAAGAAGTTAAATTTGCTTGTATAGTTACAAAGGATCAAAAATAATTTAAAATTCACTGGGAGCCGAGAAAGAGAAGTAGGCAAACCACTACCACATAATAATAATAATAATCTCTTTATTGCTTTTTGACAATTGTACATTGTATAGCAAACGTCAGTCAATACAAAAAATGCAACAAATAAGATAAAATATAACATGTAGCTGTGTAAACTAAGGTCGGATATTGGGTAGGTGTTTATTTATAAAATCTGTATATATATACTTTGTAAAAACAGTAAATGAATAAACTATTAATTAATAACAATAAATAAACTCCTATTAAAAGAAATAACAGTAATTATTTTAATAAACATTGACTAAAATCTAACTAAACCCCTGGGGAAGAAAATTTTGTGATCAATTCAACTCCAACGGTATTTAGTGAACTCATCCACCCCGTAGAACACAAGATTCGTCAACTCTCTCTTCAGTCTTGTTTTGAACAAATGAGAACTCTCCAGGCTTTTTAGTCTCTCAGGAAGAGCGTTAAGGAACCCGACACCTACTTGGGAAGGGAGTTTCGCAAACGCAGCTGTGCGGTGTTGGACAGTGCGAAAATCGTCCCTTGCTCTAGTTCCATAGCTGTGGATAGCATTGCCTTGAATTGGTAAGTGTTGGAAACGGCAATAAACCACAGTCTCCAAAATGTAAAGGGAAGGTAGGGTCAAGATTCCAAGCTCCCTGAAAGCAAGCCTACACGTCTCTCTTTCATGTTGACTTAAATTTGCAATAAGTCTGATGGCTCTTTTCTGGAGTATAAACACCCTTTCAAAATCTCGATTGGAACAACCACCCCATAACCTAATTCCATAGGTAAGGTGGGGGTGAACAAGGCCATAATAGGCCATGATTAGAACTTGTTTTGTGCAGGTCTGTTTGAGATTCCTTACTTTACATATTTTACAGCACATACTTGCTATACTGAACCTGCTATACTGAATATGCACATACTTTACATATTCACATCCTGTTAAGCTGTACGTACATCATACTCTAGGACTAGTATGAACACGTTCAAACAGATGACTGTACAATATTTAGCTGCAGAGGATTTTAGAAGTTTTCATGATTATATTTCAGGTCCGGCCCAATATTAATGAAATGATCTCAAACTGCAAATGGAGAGGAAGAATGATCAAATGCCGGCAACTTTTCCGTAAGCAAATGACCGAGGAAGGATTTTGTTACTCTTTCAATAGCAGAACTGCTGACAGAAGCTCAGATGAGTAAGATACTGGTGTATTTTTTGTTTTTTTTTAAGAACACAGACTTAAGTTTTTCATATTGACTATATTAAATGGGTTTTTTATAAACATAAGAACCAGGTTATATTCAAAAATGCTCTTTAGGCCTGGCACTATTGAATTTCAATATAGATAATTTTTGCTGCACCTCTTGACAACAAAATAATAAAATGTGTATAAAAAGGAGAATACAAAATTGAGTGTATTACGTGTTTAAAATACATACATACGAGGTGCATATATTATCTCATCCACCATATTTCTAGTTTTAACACCATAGGGGAGAACATGTCGTTACTACTTTGCAAGCTTTCAATGTTTAGCTATTTTAAAATTTTCACGTAACAAAGAGAACAAATAGTTTGACCATTGCCTGGATTTGACATTTTAAAGTTAGTATAAACATAAACTTTGACCATTTTGTCTTTTTCTGTCAGTTTACCTAGGGTCCCTCCTGAGGAGAAATCTGACGGAACTTTAGAATGTCTTCGCAATAATGCTGCTGGAAGAGACAGTGGCCTCTCTTTTGCTCTGAAATCACTTGACACTGAAATATTCAAAACGAATCTGCAAACCAGAGGATATTCAGTAAGTATTACATCTTCTGTGGACAAAATTGCTATTAATGTAGACTGTCTGGAAAGCTATGATCATTACTGCATCAGTAGAGCTACCTATTACAAATATTTCAAGAACTGTACTTTGGTAATAACCTCTTGCAGGCATGATTTTAGGCAATTACAGATACATCAAATTTCCCAGACTTAGAAGTTTTTTTTTTTCGTTTTGCCTCTGAGGGTATAAGACCTAAGGTAATCAAACACTATATGCTAGGATTTTATTTTGTATTCTATGGATACTGTAGTAGGACCTAGATAAAAAAAAACAATTCTGGAAACTAAAGGTGGAAAACCCTGTTGACAAAATGAAGGTGGTCATTGCAGAGGAGGAGGAATTGAAAGCACCAATGGAAATTTTACACTACTGGTACCTACTCCTATATCAGGACATTTAACATCTATAATTTAATTAAAATAACCTTTTTCTATTTTTCAACATTTCAGATCATGGTGCACAACCCTAATTCTTATCCTGAAGTTTCTCACAAGTATTTAGTTTTCTGGAAAAACTTTACAGTTTCACGGATTAGTGTTCTGGTAAATATGGTCAGAACGGATGAAACGTTTGCGAGAATTGCAGAATCTGCTCGTGGATGTAATATGTCTATCACAGACCCCTATATATGTATGTTGAGATGTCGTCAAAGAGAAATCTATCGCCAATGTGGCTGTTTGCCATATTACATGTACCATTTCAACCGTAAGTAAACACAAGTTGGTTATACTACTGTTTTCTTTAGGAGGAAGTAGGGTAGCATTTTGAGAAAAGAGTTTTTACATGCATAGCAACATTTTCCTTCATTCTTATAATATACTTTTGTAATTTACGTTTGCTATACTGTAACGTAAAATTATTTCTTTAAGTTTTACTCTTTTAGTACCTGGGGCAGTACACCATAAAAGTAGCATAGACAGCGTATTACTTAGTTCAGATAAAGAGCTGTTTGTCTACTTTTTAACCCTCTAGATGGTTCGGCTGTAAAACCCTGTGGTTGATTTATTCTTATAAATAACTGTACAAAAAATGATAATACATAAAAAAATGCATAATGATTCCCCTCTTGACAGTTAATGAGAAGAGATCTAACTCTGTTTTAGAAGTAGAATGTAGGATACACTCCATGGCACACTTAACCCTTCCCGGACGGGCGAAATCGTGACATAGAACGAGAAAAAATTAAAGGAAAAAATAAAAAATTATTTTCTTTATTTGTGTTTTGTTATATAAGTATACATAAAATAAACACAATGGAACACTTCATAACTGTCAAAATAATTTTTTACTCGTTTTTAACTATGCAGATATATCCGCTACCCGTCCGCGCATGAGTAGAAAAGCAGCGGATATATCCGCCCCACGTCTTTGAGCAAATGACCATGAAAACGTTAGGCAATAAATAAGAACAATATGTAAACAATAAATAAAGACAACGTAGTGTTGAGCGCGAAACGTCGAGGGGGGAGCGTAGGAGAGGTGATGGGTGGTGCGCAGGAGAGGGGGAGGCGCAAGAGAGGGGAAGGAGCGGGAGAGAGGGGGGAGTGCGGGATAGAGCACAGCCATGGAGAGAGCAGGAAAGTGGCGCCTTGGTACTGTGAAACATTTGGTTATTGCTCAAGCACCTGCCAGTCTGTCTGAAGAGAAGGCGGATATATCTGCTTCCCGCCCGGAACATCAAAAACCATAAGCAGATATATCCGCCACCCGTCCTTTATCGCCAAGAAGACTTAGGCAGGTCCGGGAAGGGTTAAGAGGTGTCAAGGACACATTTCAACACCCTGTGCGATAGGAATTTCCTCACAGTGCTAGGTGTTCAGGCTCTTCTCAGCTTGTCACTATTATATTTCCGGCACAACATACCAGATCTGAACAGGCTTGGTTGTCCCATAAGTGTGTTTTCTTTTCTTCTGTACGTACCTTTTTTTATGTGGTTCTAGTGAAAACTTAATAAAATTATCTGTAACAAAAACAAATTTGACCAAAGGAACCAAAGTTTAACTTAAACGTCCTGTGCTCTTTTTTTACTAATCATGTAAAACATCCGCAATAATCATAAAGGTTTCTTAAAGCACTAGGTTTTATTTATTTTAACAAACAGTACCATAACATTAGAGAAATATATTCCACACTGTCTATTAATATTAATTCATTTTAATTTAAGGTTTTCGGATATCCATAATTAATTCTGTTTTGTTAACAGGATATGCTGAAACATGCGGAATTCAGCATTTTAAATGCTTGGATATTAATAATAGTAAGTGTTGAATTCACTTTTAATACTTTATAAATTTACAGCTTGCATTCATTCATGTAATTAAATGCAAGTGAATTCGTTAGGTAACCTCCTATTTTGAACAATTTATTTTCAAAGTGAAAATCACAAAAGATTCTAGTTCACCAAATGATTTTCTTTTCCATTTTGTGGAACATTAACATCCAAATTTGGAGGCAACACATTTGTTTATATAAAGTAGTTTTTCAAAGATAAACCTATTTTTATATGTTGCAGAACGCTTTAGGAATGCTCGAGTTGATGGTGAACATTTCAATATACCTGCCTGGACTGCTCCCATGTTTATGAGCTGTAAGTGCGAGAGACCTTGCTCAGATACTACGTACACCACAGAATACTCCTTCATTCCAAGTGAAGAAGTCACTGGAGATATTACTCCAACAGGGTATGCTTTAAATTTGGAGATATTTATCATTCAAAGAAAAATAAATAGAAATGCATATATGCACCGGTAGGGTGAAAAAAAACCGACCATAATATTTGAACATCACTGGGAGAGTGGAAGTAGTAAATTGGTCAGTAGCTCAGACCGTAAATAAAAAACTGAAACAATTGATATGCAATATTCTTGCTTCCAACACTGTTACTTATACTAAATTGCGTTTGTTTCCATCGTTTTAAAACCGTTTAAAACCGGCACATATGTGAGCCGTCGGTCTATAGCAAAAATTTATAATGCAGTTTTACTATGGACTGATTGTCCCACAGGGCCGTCCCTAGGGTTGGCGGCGCCCGGAGCAAAAGTGGTCGTGGCGCCCCCTCCCCCCCCCCCCAGTATTAGTCGCATTCGCATATTTGTAATACTAAGTTAATACAAATAGCCGCAACAAGGAGCCCTCTCAGCCGCGTCGCAGCCCTGTATGTCCCATTTTGCGCCGTAAACCCAATGCCGCAAAACCAACTTAAACACAACTGCAGAGAACAAACATACACACAGTATAACCTCAGCTTCACTGAGAAACACGCGGTTACCACCTGGATGTTACTGTAGGGAATGGGCACACGGAAGGGACTAAGGCTAAAGGTGTAGTGACGTCATATCTCTAGTGGTTAATGTCTTCTCTTGAGGCGACACGATTACCGTAACGAAACGAAGTGATTTCAGCGGCGTTCGTGGCATAGTAGGTAGCGTTTCGGATTGGTGTTCAAGAGGTCCGGGGTTCGAAACCCGCTGGCAGCACTAACTTTTTGTCAACAAATTTTTCATATCAGCAAGTTTGGTTGGTTAGGTTAGGTTATGACAGTTTAATTTTATAATACTAAATTTTAAAATTAATTTTATAATTAATTAAAAATTATAAGTAATCATTAATTAGATTTTGTTCTTATATGGTTTTTATATTATCAGCAAGTCTGGTTGGTTAGGTTATGTTATGACAGTTTAATTTTAAAAATTAAAAATTTATTTTATAATCTTAAAACAATATTTTATAATTAAAAAGTTAATTTTATAACAAAAAATAAAAAATTAATTTAAATTTTTTCAACTTAGCAGTCCTAGCGGCGAACGCTGACACTACAAGATATGTTAGCCTTAGTCCCTCCCGTGTGCCCCACCGGTTACTGTAGCTGTAGCTATAGTATAAACATTTGGGAACAAATACAATAAAAACGAAAACAGGAGTAACAACTATATGGTGTTGTACTAAATACACCAATCGTCAAATCAAAAGACCAAGCGTTCCATATGTGTCATATATTCCCAAAGACTGATATAAAATATCAAGGCATAAAAATGGACCAATACGATCGGAGACACATTTAAAACACGTTCAGTGCGAGGGGCGGGAATTCTTGCCCCGCAGTACCGGCGCCACTGGTGCGGGGCGGGAAATCATGTCCTTCACCAATGCCAACAACTTTGCTTCAATGTGAGCTCAGCCATTGCCGGGGAACGTTGTAATTGTTTCCAACCTGTAGCGTAGAATGCAAGCTTTATTTTGGTGTAGGCTGGTACCGTACTAAACATTCCCGTAAAATCTCGTCTGGCAATTCTTTTGTCCCATTTTCGAGGATTTTCTCTCGAGCCATATTACAAAGACTCTGGTTATTGATCCAGGCAGTGCTGCTACCTTTGGGTGTTTCAGTGAACTACGTCCACTTTCGGGGTAACGCAGAACAATCACCACTGGTCTTTTGTGAATTGTCTTATATTTCAATGCCAATAGCGATCGCCGATTCAGATAGCGTTCCGGGGCTCCGCCCAGCCTCGCCTCAGTTTAGGAGCGCCTGTATAAAGGTTTTTAGCAGTGAACGTGTTAAATAAGCCGGGGACACTATACGTATGATGGTGTATTGGATTGGCCCGAGCGGTGCACGTTTGGGATTGAGGTCTATGGTAAAGTTTTTTTGGCGCATAGGTAGGACGGTCGAGTATATATTTACGGTATGTAATTTTTAACATGTCGGTAGCAAACATGTTAAGGAAAACTATCACAATTTTACAACAGTTTGGCTTATATTAAAATAAAGTTTTAGAATGGAACATTCCCGATGTTTTTTGAATTTTATGTGTTTTATTTGGTACGTATTTCGGAAGTAATAGTATGAGCAATAACTCCTTTAATGTAATTAAGTGCTTACTGTTACTTTAAGCACTTAATTGTACATATTTCATCCACTTTTACTAGTTTATGTATTTTTATTATCTACAAAATATAGGTGCTGCTTTTTAAGGAAACAGGAAGTTTGTTTGATAATCTTGGTTTAATGGGAACTGCCTTTTTTTGGTGATGGAAAAGAACTATAAATACAAAAACTGCAGTTGATTCCGCACTAGCTTTATCATCAAATTTAAGATACATATTGGTTCAGCTTATACAGACCAAAATATAAAAGCTAGAGGGTCAAATTTCACCTGAAATAGCTAATAATAACTTCCCTCCTAAGCCGCCCTTGAATATAAAATTTTGTAAAACTACGTATTATTGCATACCTACACACCATACGAGGACCCCCTGCACCAAATTTGATAATAATTCTAGGTCGTATATTTTGTGATATAGTGATCATTTTTCAGTCAGTGATATTTGCCTTTTATAAGCATAGCGATTATGTCTGATTACATAGTAATCAATGTTTACTCAAGGTTCTTGGGATTCGTGGAGATAATTTACAAAACAAACTATGCTACCAGTTACATTAGAAGAGCTCGCTTTACCTGGAGTGACCTTTTAGGTGAGTTTCTTTAGTAAATAATGAAGAAATAAGCTGAGAATTTTATTTATTTAGTTGTATTCATAGTTCTTTGTCTGTTTTATTTGTGAATACATAAAATATTTAAGGGTTAAATTTTAAAAAAACGCCTCATTCACTGTATGTATGACAAAAGAGAAAATATCGCCTTTGGCCAGTATACATTTTCTTTAAATCTCGCACCTGTTACCGGGAGCTAGACGCAAAGTAGATGGATGTAGATAGATGGAAAGTAGATAGATGTAAAGTTTAGAAATGTGTGAGAATAATTGTCTTTTTAAGTTTTCTTGTACAAATTGAATTAATTACTAAGCAATGCTAACCTCTTTTTGTACTCAAAATACAAACTTTAGAAAATTGATGATTTGAATGAATAATCATAAACAGACTGTAATATATGCATATTGATTTATAACATTTAACATAACATTAACATTTAATATTTGTATTGGCAACAGTGCTGTAACGTATAGTTCATTTGAATAAATTAATACCGTTGGTTGAAAAATAAAGTAAAATGTTTGTAGTTACCGTCTTTAGCCGATATACCTTACTATACCGCTACAGTATTATATTTCGAATTAATAACGCACTAGTTACACTACGATGGTGGCAGTCCTTACACTGCGCACTAACACCGTGAATTCGTAAACGTCCTCGTCGCCAAAATGTAATGTTCGTACTCACTGAACTTCTTAACACTACTTAAAGCACTTGTAAGACCGGGGTTAAAATAAGAAGGCGCATTGTAATGAACTGAATACCGCCGGTTGACATTAAAGGAATCATGGAGTGTTACATAGTGAAGCCGGTGTAGGTAGCGGGCAACTGAGGCCGAGGAGAAGCATCATACAGGACAGGTGGGGAATAGGACGCTATCTGTGATTGGTTAATGTTCAACCAACGGTATTAATTTATTCAAATGAACTATACGTTACAGCACTGTTGCCAATACAAATATTAAATGTTAATGTTATGTTAAATGTAATAAATCAATATGCATATATTACACAGACAATAATTGCAAACTATGTTATACAAACCTAGCGTAATGCTGTGCAGTTTCATACTACCTTAAAATATTACCAAAAGTACTAAGTGTGTGAAGGTATAAATATAACTTTCATAGTCGTGGGCTTTACCAACTGGGTACTAACTGCTGGTTGTGGGGTGGGGGGTGCGGTAATTGCCAATAAATTATTATCTTTTTATAATAAACTTACAATAATATATTTCATTACTAGTAGGCCTACCGAAAGTGGCGTTTTCCAGTGTGAAGTTTTATATGTGAGGCAAAACCGTAACACCAAATTTCACATGCAAGGTGAAGCCGAGCATGGGAGAGTGTGTGTTTCATGTACGGTATGAGGAAAACCCAAGAACAAGAATAATTGGAGCGAGTTCCAGAAAATTTCTTTCACTACAATTTATGAATGATACTTTTCATAATGACAACAAAATGCTTGAATAGCAGACCTCAGTAAAGTTAACAGTACAGTATTTTTACATTTTCAATTAACGTTTCTAATTGCACCGTACTAAAATCTGACATATACTTTCTCTTATTAGCTTGTCAACAAGCCATATCATGGGTAAGCAGTGGGAGTAATCTATGATATTTTATAGGGGAAAATCACAAAAGTTTCAATTACTTTTGAAACATATTTTTTTACTGCAATATGGGGTTATACCATTTTGTCAAAAGTTAAAAGGACTATAACTTGTGAAATATTAATCAAAATTGTTTGAGCCATTTTTTAAATTTAGATTTTTCTGTAATTTTATGGGGTTTTTGGGAAATCACCATAAAAAATAAATTTCAAAAATAGAAAAAACCTAAAGATACCATAAATTACCGACATACAAAATTTCATAAAAATTTGGAACACGACACATGTGTGGTCTGTAGATCTGTACGTACACATCCTAACATACACACACAGACATAAATTTAAAAACCACTTTTTTGGGTTGAGGGAGACCCGAAAAGGGAATTTTCATCCTAAACTCAGACATGTTGTTGAAAACAGTTTACTATGTGTAGGAGGATAAAGTAAAAAAATACTGCAGATGGCAGAGTGAAGTCATTGCTGGTAAAGTTATTTCAAAGTTGAGAATAGTCTAATGTCTCGTTTCAGTGGACGTCGGGTCCCTTGCTGGTCTGTTTCTGGGCTGCAGCATCATCACAACGATTGAGTTGGCAGTGTTCTTGTACAAGCTCGCAATTGAAGTATACAATACGGTTACTGTGAAAAATACAGTTATTCTACCTTATGCGGAATAATGTTGAATTGTGTAGAGGAATTATGTGATATAATGTCATAGTAAACCAACTGTAAAGTTTTTTGTTTGTTGATTTTACCTTCCGTTACTAATAATTAATCTGTTAAATAATGTGGCTAAAAAATAAGTGGCTATGACTATGACTAATTTGTTGTATGCATTGCATTTTAAAAATTAACTTAACCAACTAAAATGAAAAGTACTAATATGACTTGTGTACATTTGTTGTTTTGCAGGGGTGTCCACAAGGGGGGGCCGTGACGCAGACTGCGTCATTGAAATTCTTGGGGGGGGGGGGGGGGTTGCAAAAAATTCAAATAGGGGGGGCTAAAGTTAGTTAATTGCAACAGTGTTCAACGTGACGACAATTAAAAATATATTTCAAAGTCACCAGATAGAAAGTTGATTAATTAATGACAATAGTTATA